TTTGGAGCTGCCTCTGCCGTTTGGAGCCGCCGCCGCCGTTTGGAGTGCCGCCGTCACGTTTGGAGCTGCCGCTTCCGTGTTTGGAGCTGCCGCCGTGTTTGGAGTGGCGGTGGTGCTCCAAACAGCGGTAGTGCTCCAAACGCGGAAGCGGCAGCTTCAAACGGCGGCGGTGGCTCCAAACGGCAGAGGCAGCTCCAAACGGCGGCGGCGGCTCCAAATGGCAGAGGCAGCTCCAAATGGCGGCGGCGGCTCCAAACAGCAGAGGCAGCTCCAAACGGCGGCAGCAGCTCCAAGGGCACTCCAAATGGCGGTGGTAGCTCCAACGGCACTCCAAATGGCAAGTCCCCCCACCCTTCCCCCTATTTTGCATGTTTTAAACTAGGCCTAAATTTGGGGGGAGGGGCTTAATTTGATTTTATGCCTAGAAAACATGCTGGGTCTTCCTATTGGTGGAGGCCGTATTGTTGGAGAAACAAGGTATTTCTTTACTCACCTTAAAACAGAAACAATCACCACAGGTAATGGGCAAATAATGAAACCAGAAGGAATAGGAGATGGTTTTCTTTACTATCCTATTTCTCAGATTGTGTGATGACCTGGGGCGTGGCACAAAGGCAACACAGTCAAATAAGCAAAAAGTGTCCCTTTAATACCTCCAACTTTGCCCCCAATGTCCTTCGGCTGGAGAAAAAACTCTCCCAAGAACAGTCTTTAAGTGGAGGAAAATCAGTCTAAAAACAAAGTACATACAACTGTAAATAAAAATCCACACAAACCACGCTGAAGTAATTAACTTGACAGGGTAGGAGAAGGAATTGCAGACTTGAAAGCCCAGCAAAACACACAGTTGGGAAGATGCCAGGAACCCAGATAAGCCTCAACGATACCAGATAATTCACAATTTGCTCCCAACAACTTTGCTGTGCACAGCTTCCCTTTTCAAACACTGTGTTCCCAGCTGCAGCTAATGAAGGGAATCAGGGCCCTTTCCTTCCCCATAATCTATGCAACTCATGTTGCTCCCTTCTCCGTTCCTCACTACGTGCCCTAGAATGAAGCGGGTGTGGGCCTGAGTCTTCCTCTGAATTCCCTCTCCCTTGTTCTATCTCTCCCCTGCTGTGCCCAGCTAGCCTTTGTCCTTCCTCAGTTTCTTCCACAGCCAACGGAGCCACACTCCCACTCCCTGTCAGCTGTTCAGCCTCCCCCTCTGAATCAGATTCAGACGGGCATGACAGAGTGTCACCAGAAAGATATTTGTAAAAAATGTACTATATGTCACTCTTCTTGAAACTAATTTTTTATCAGTGTAGAAGCTCACAAAACAAGGCAATGTAGTGACCAGATCTCCACCCTAAAAAATCACTTTTCCCCAATGTATTACAGTGAAGAAGGCAAAACCAAAATGTACTGGTAAATTACAAGAACACACACACACACTTCCTTCTAACCTTGCTGGAGCAGGTGATTGGACTAGAATAGATATCTTTCTCCTCTCTCCCTCCCTCCTTTATTTCTTTTTCTTTCTGTCCCTTTTTCTTTCTTTCCCTTTTCTCTTTCTTTTCTTCCTTCTCTCTTTCTTTCTCTCTTTTCTTTCTCTCTCCCTCTCAGGCTCACCGCATTGACTTGCTGCACTGCTTCGCTCGGACTTACTTGGGCAGGTCCCTCCGGTGCAGCGGGCTTAGTGGGGTGGACCTGCGGGGCTGGCACCTAAAATGAGGCAGTGGCAGCACGTTTGAAAAGTCGAGCAAAGCCAGAGGTCAATAATGACAAAAGCTTCTGGGTTGTGCACAAGAAGAGACACACATGTCAATGCAATTCAGCAACATAAAATAAAGAAATACAAATAAATCAACAAGAATTGGCAAAGCATCTCTGATTAGATTTTATTCACTACTAGAATCTAATCAGATGCTTTGCCGATTCTAGTCCGATGACCTGCTCCAGCAGGGTTACCGTGTTTCTCCAACAATACGACCTCCCCCAATAGGAAGACCCAGCATGTTTTCTAGGCATAAAATGAAATTAAGCCCCTCCTCCCAAAATTAGGCCTATTTTAAAACATGCAAAATGGGGGGAAGGGCGGGGGGACTTGCCGTTAGGAGTGCCCCGCGGGCAGCAATTCCTCGCCACCAGCTGCTCCTAATGGGCGATCATGGCAGAGCGCGGAGAGCTCCCTACTCCTGCCAAGCACCTTTGTGGCAGACCCAAGACCTTCAGCGTCCGCCGCTGTTGATTTCCCTTCTGCCCATGCCGCCGCCGCCGCGTTTGGAGCTGCCACTTCCACGTTTGGAGCACCACTGCTGTTTGGAGCACTGCTGCTGTTTGGAGCTGCCGCTTCCGCATTTGGAGCTGCCACTTCCACGTTTGGAACCCCACCGCTATTTGGAGCACTGCCGCTGTTTGGAGTTGCATGTCCGCATTTGGAGCTGCCGCTTCCGCGTTTGGAGCACTGCCGCTGTTTGGAGCACCACCGCCATTTGGAGCGCCGCCACCGCTCCAAACGCAGAAGTAGCAGCTCCAAACGTGGCGGCAGTGCTCCAAATGGCGGCGGCACTCCAAATGGCAGCGGCACTCCAGACACGGAAGCGGCAGCTCCCAACGGGAGCGACAGCTCCCAATGTGGCGGCAGAATGAGCAGAAGGGAAAGCAACAGCGGCGGGTGCCAAAGGTCTTGGGTCTGCTGCAAAGGTGTTTGGTGGGAGTAGAGAGCTCTCTGCGCTTCGCCATGATCACCCGTTAGGAGCGGCTGGTGGCAAGGCTGCCTGCGGGGCGCTCTAGATGAGGATGCAAGGGGGGGAATTAAGTCACCCCTGAAAAGACGGCCTAGCCGTTTTTTCGGGGCTCAAAAAAATATAAGACCCGGCCTTATTTTATGAGAAACACAGTAGAAGGGAGTGTGTGTGTCAAAACTCCAAAAACAGGTCTAGTAGCTCTGAGAAGGCCAGTCATAAATTAGAACAATTGCTAAACAACTGGCCGTTAAGTGAGGATCACTTGTATTTGGTTTGCCGGTCATCTGGCCACGCCCACCCAGTCACATGACCACCAAACCACACCTACCCAGTCATGTGACCAGCAAGCCACCCAGTCACATGACCGGCAAGCCACGTCCTCAAATTAGGCCACGCCCACAGAAATTTAAATCCCACCCCTGGGTGAGGGGCACCAAGGATGAATTTGTAGCACAAAGGGGGTGGTGGACTGAAAAAGTTTGGGAACCACTGGTTTAGACTGTCCATTAGTATTTTCCTTTGTTTTTCCATTATGTTCTTCACTAAAATCTTAGTTTTTTTTCCATCTTTAATTTCCAAGACTGGTAATTCTGGTTTATCAGATTCACAAATGAAATCTTTGTTTCAGCTTTGTTAACTGGCCATTTTCTTATATTTATTAATTTTGTTACAGTCTTCTTTCTGTTGCTGTTTCTTGCACTTATTTACTGTAGCTGGCTATGACTGGTTTACTTTGTTCTGTGCTAAACTTTATATTTCTCCTCTGATCTGGGTTTATACTGGGCTCATCTCTGATTTTATACTGGTTTACCTGGGCTGAAGTTGGTTTACCTGGGCCCATAATCTGCTAGAAAATTATGTTTTATTCTATATAAATGGTAGCAGAGGATGGTTAGATAGCCATACAGATCAAAATAATGTGTACAGTGTACAGTCACCTTGGGCCTCACCCTTAACAATTTCAACTGTTATAGGAAACTCTCCTTAGAACAAAAAAGAAACCATAGATTATAACCATATATGAAAACTAAACACTGCCATATACTGGCTGAATAATTCTATAATTGTTGCAATACAAAATACATTCTAACATATATTCCAACAACGTTGCTGCTAGAAATGAATTTGAGTCATTTTATCTACTGAAGCATTGGTATACATGATTATTTTAACTAGTTTGATTATAAATGAATGAAGCCACAATTTCCAAGATGGTGTTTACTATTTTTGGTAGGTCAAAATGCTACATATCTGCCAAATATAGTGGTACCTCAGTACTCATTGTTAATTGGTTCCGGGAAGCGCGATAAGAATCCAAAATGATGAGAATCAAACAAATTTTTCCCATAGGGAATAATGTTGTAAGTCACAAGATAACTGACGGCAACAAATTCTAATTTGTGTGTTGTGTATCAAATAAACAATTAGTAGTGGGGCAAAATTTTTGTGTCAAAATATGTTGAGTACTAAATTTGATGAGTTTCAAAGCAATCGAGTACCAAGGTACCACTGTATAAGCAAATAATAAATAAATGCTATAATTAAGCTTTATGTATCTAACTTGTAATATCGATTCTTTTTCCTGCAGTTTCTATTATAGACTTTTTTGATCAGTTCGTAGAATGGATAGCATCCATTTCTATTAACTCTTTTAAACTTTACACAGGCATATACTACAGTGAATTATGGTAGTGAAATGGATGTAGGAACTGACCAAGCAGAGTGTTTTATGACTGACACTGCACAGTCATGTGCAAACAGTCCTCAAAAGGTATAATGATTTATTTTATATAAATATTCTTTACATAAAGAATAATCAAACCTTGGGTGTATAATAAATGAAAAGCAAGAATAGAATACAAATAGTACAGGTAGTCTTTGTGAACCACAATTGGGATTCACTATTCTGTCACTAAGTAAAGTGGTCATAATGTACTGTGATCAGGTGATCACAGCTGTACTTTTCAGGATGTCAAGACTCATCCATTTTGCACTTTTGGTTTTTTGTTTGCTTCCTAAGCACTCCCCATTCTTTGGAATGTTAACCTGGAGCTGAAATAATTAAAAGGGAAATTAGTGTTTTTATTTTCATTCAGTGGAGAGAAAGGGATTACAAGACAGTAAACAGGCACTCAATGGGGACTGAACCTGAAAGCAATGGCAGCTGTGGAAGCACAATGTAAACAGCCTGGTGTAGTTCCCATTGCATACTCGTTTACTATCTTGTAGTCTCTTCCTCTCCAATTTCTGTGTTGTGGGAGGACAGGACAAATACCAGAGATTGCCTATAGAAATTGCTCACCACAGTTAAGAGATTAGGGGTGAAAGGATTATAAGAGAGTACGCAGACATACAATTGGGACTACCCAGTTTGCATTAGCAACTGCCAGCACCACCACATTCCTTTCTATGTATATTCTCCATTGTATGCTGCTTACTGACTGTAATGGTAATCATATGACTAAGAAACAGTGACAGTGACCGAACGAGGCAATTGGTAAGCAAGGACTATCTGTAGTGTGTATGCGTATTGCTTTTTTTCTTAGTGTCTTGTTTGTAGAGATTATAAAACTGATATTTCAAAACATTGGAACATTGATCAAATGTAGGCTAAAAAGCCTATAAATGGCCAATTGCTAAAGCATTTGTTGACAAGTTGTGTCCATATATGACTCCCCTATGTAATGTTTATGACTATCCAGGACTCAAAATTTCATGTTTAAATTCAGTGGCAAATGCCCAGCTTTCTGTAGTGCAGTTTTGTTATTCTTTTCCAAAGGATATAAATGGGAGCAAGACACCTCTTGAAGACAATTTTTAAAATGTCCATCCCTCATACCTCTGACATGAGATTAACTCTGAAATTTGGTGTTTTGTAATCAGATTTAGATTCATACATATAGGCCTTTCAAGGGGTGAAAATGGAAGCAGATGAGACTGAGATTATCTCTCTATACAACATTAGTTCAGGCATTAGAAAACATCTAACACAATATTCACAATATATTAATAAAGTTTAATTGTTTTAGAAATCTGTGGATCGCAGCATACAGACAGTAGTATCGTGTCTATGTAATCCAGATAATCGGTTGAGGAACAATATTGTAACTCAAGAGGACTATCTTAAGGTATCAATAAAACTGAAAGATGACCACTTAAGAGATCTGTTATTAGGAATTATTAGAGAAGTTCAAATTTACAGAGATAATACGTATGGGAAATATTCTGATCCAGATTTGACAGAGATAGCTACAATTAAAGTACTCACCTTCTTTATGAATTTATTGTTGCATTCTAATTTGGTATTCAAATTCTGTTTATGCTGTTTTGATGATGAAAGTTTGACAGCAGCTTCACACATCACAAAGAAGCTATAATAGAGAATGCCTAAACAAATTCTATATTTACTTTTTACACTGCAGAATAAATGAATAAATAATGAATATGTTATTGTAGTCACAGACCAGAACACAGTTTAGCCTAATTTAATCTCTCTATATATATTTTTGTTTATATTTTATTATATTTTAGGTCAGTTTTGAATATCTAATTGGTATTTGATACCTAAATAACAGTAATTATGAAAATAGCAGAAAGGTAGTCTTATACCTACAACTTAACCAAGCGTATAGAATTTATGGCAAAGATAATTCCCTTTTTAAATTTAAAAACAAGAAAAGGCCACCTTATAATTAACATAAGGAATCCTATCTTAGACAAGTTTTTACATCTATGATTTTTTTTCCTTAGTGCCTTATAAAAAGAGTAATTTTTAATATTTAATACCATTTTACTTGAATCTTTTCAATATGGAAAAAATGCTGTTCCAGAGAAACCGCTTTTATAATACTGTAAATAATGTGAATAAAATAGTTTGTAATTGATAACTACTTGTTACCGTGCTAAATTGCCTCAAAGTATGGAAATAAACTACACAAATAGCTTTTTTACTTTAAGGGTTTTCTTAAACTGGTTTGTTCTTTGATCCAAGAGTGTTATTTTTAGAAGTAAATAAGACATTTTAATTTGAATCTGGTTGCACTTTAATTTATGTTCTTTAACCTTCATTTGTAGGAGAAGAGAGCACATCATTTTAGAAGAAGTAGAGCTGTTCTTAAAACTGTTTGACTCAACAATATAAAAAACCTGAAACATTCATGTTTGTCATTTGTAAAGGCAGAAAAACTTGCAATTTAATATTGGTGACAAAACATACTTGACAATTATGTAGCCCTACTGGCAAAAGTTATTTGAAGTTGGAGTTCATTTGAAGTTTATATGTAATATGTTTCTCTGTTTGAATTTATGTTATTTATTTCTAGACATGTTTATATGCTTTATTTAGTCTAGAATCAGAAAACTTTTAACAGTTAGAATTCTTAAAACTTTCTGAATATTGGGTTGTGTTTCTAAGCTTTAAAAATACAGTTTACTGCATGTTGATACTAGTTTCTAACATTTTAACTTTCTCCCAGCTCACACTTAAAATAGGAGGATCTATTTTTGCAAGAGGTATTTTTAAAACTGTACTTGAATCAGGTGATTAAACAGACATCCAGTGGCATCTCAATTACTGCCAGAAATACATACTCAGTACAGTATTGCCTTACATATCCAATCAGTGGGGACTTCATTCACTAGCTGTGTGTGTGCTGCTTAATTATCAGTTCTGAAACTGATAGGAATAAAAGTGTACTAATGGATGTAATTAATATATTAACTATATTCCATGAGTTACACTTTTTTATACTAGGCATTCCTGGTTAAAATATCTTAAAATTGTGGAAAGAACGAGTACTATGTGATCTTGTGCTTTTTAAAACTGGTCACCAGCTTTAAATCAAAGAATTTGTAAAACTGTTTAATTATGTAGACTTTAGTTTTATATCAGTAAAATTCCACAATAAACGCTTTTGAGTTGGATTCCTTTTGTCATTGTGGTTTAGCCAGGGAGAATTGCAAAGTATTTTTTAAAAAGTTGTCCTAAATATTAACATTGCTTGTTTTGATCTCAGATAACATAATTGGAATGACACACATTGAGAAATTAGTTTTGTTATAAACATTCAAATAGCCTTAAATTGAATGTATGTCTACAAAGAAAATTTTTGTATTAAGATTGCATTTATGTATCTTTTGGTGAAATCATACTAGTTTTGCATGCTTAGGTTTGAACATTTAGTTTTGGCAAATGTAGTGTGTCTTTTACTCTTTTCCCTCAATCTTCAAGAGTAAATAAATCTATAGATAAAAGCATAAATGTATCCTTTAACATTCAAAACTTGGGACAAATAAAACTCAAGCATTTCTGTTTACATTGTTACCGCTACCTTTTCTGATTGTTTGCAGTCTCTTGAATTTACCAAGAATATGTTTTTGCCTTTATTGACTTTAGAATGTGAAAGGAAACATCTCGGAAAGAAAAGATCACAGTGAGTTGTTCTCTTTAGTCCTGCTTAGGTTAGGCTAATACAGGAAATGACAGATGGGATGGATTTCAGCATAAACACTCTTCAATCCTCCAAAAGGAAGTGAAATACACCTCATAAATGAGGTGGAAATATATTTGTTGAATCCAGGTTATTCTGAAAGGAAGAAGCACAAAGAATAATGAAGTTTAAATGAAGGAGAAAGAAATACCTTTAACATATAATAAGGATACCCTGCTCTCTGTTTCACTAGAAGGCATAATTTGTTCAGGTTTTAAGAGGCCAACCTACTGACAGCTTTTGTGCTTCTAAATTGAAGCTTTCTGTTGTCCCAAGCAAGGTTTTAGAGTATACACCAGAGATGGTATTCAGCAAGTTCTGACCAGTTCTGGAGAACTGCTAGTGAAATTTTTGAGTAGTTCAGAGAACCGGTAGCAGAAATTTTGAGTAATTCGGAATACCACCTCTGACTGGCCCCGCCCCCATCTGTTCTCTGCCTCCCAAGTCCTAGCTGATCGGCTGGGTCTTCTTTTGTTGCCCTGCACAGGAGAATGGAGCTGGAAAGCAGGTTAGTGGGGTGGGGAAGGAATGGGGATTTTGCAGTATCCTTTCCCTGCCATGCCCACCAAGCATGTCCATCAAGTCAAGCCACCCCCACCACGCCCACAGAACCAGTAGTAAAAAAAAAAGAGTCCCACCACTGGTATACACCAAAACATTACAGAAATGATGATGGGAATATGAATTGTAAGGTAATAAAAACAATGAGATGTCCTGAAATAATTTATACAGCAATGCTGTGAATCAAATCCTGGGCAGATGAGGCTTAATGATTGAGCCAGCTGATAGTTAACATTTATGAAACCACATTGATTTGAAGGGATACTAGGTGGGATGCAATAAGTATAATATGATTCAAATAAAAGAAACCTGACTCAACTATCTAAGCTGAAGCATTAAAATGAAAATGAACTGACTATATTATTCTGTATAAAAGTATTATGGATGAGTATTTTAATCTAGTGGTTTTGTCAAAAAAAATCTGAATTTTTGCTATATTTTTATAAGGACAAAGCAAAATAACAAAAGACATATTTCTGAGTTTTTCAAAACTTCATCCATGATGCTGGGAAAATTGGAAGGGGAAATTTAAAAAAAAAATCAGAATTGGACTTTCCCAAATAGGCTTTTGATAAACCAATAGTCCTATGTGAAGTGACTTGGATTTTTCTTGGTTGAGTCCTTTATACCAGGTCTCCAACGTTGGCAATTTTAAGATTTATGGACTTCAACTCCCAGAATTGAACTGGGAGTTGAAGTCCACAAATCTTAAAGTTGCTAAGGTTGAAGACCTGCATTTATACCACAAAGATAACATTCTTCATTGATTTGAAGAAGTGAAGATATTTATAGTTACCCTGTCTAAAGCGGGAAAGGCATTTGTGTATGAATAGACTTTTCCTGCTATTGGAACTGCCTGAAGGAGGCTTCAGAAAAAAGAAGGTGGTCATTTTTCTAAAAAACATTGGGGGAATGTTTTGCTCAAGGCTCTATTGAAGTGAAGGATTGCAAACAATATCTGCCAAAATGTATTACAAAAAATTTATATACTTTTTATATTGTAGGGTGGGAAATTAAGCTACAACAGAGGACTTGAAAGAATGCTGACTTTGATGCAATAAGAACAACTTGCATGCCAAAAATGTACCATAAGACTATTCATGTAGTATTCCCAAGAACAAGTGTAAAGGGATTCTTATGGGTACAAATTTCCATGCGTAGGCAATAACATTTTGTTGCTCCAGCTAATAGACATGTTTTATCTTACATTCTACATTACGCCCTTTCTTTTCCTTGTTCCCACCTGGCTTTGTTTTATCTGTCATCTCTATTCTTTTGTGTTTGTATGATTCCTTATTTTTAAATGTTTTTCACAATTTATAAGCCAGCCAGGGTTGCTTAGACTCTATACATGTTAAGATTAATTAATATAAAAAGCTTTAATTTCAGATCCACAATAAATCACAAATGATGTTAAGATGGTTGTAGGAATTAGAGATGTTTTTAAATTAAATAAGCAATTCACTTGAATGATGTGCTGTTTCTTGTTCTTATATATTATGAAATTGTTAAGTGGAAATGAGTTCAGATTCTTCAAATTAATATATAGGTTTATTGCAAGCTTAAGCTCTATACAAGAATCTGAACTACTAACAGTCAAAGCAAATTGGGATAGATAAGAGTCAATAGAATTCATGGTGAGCTGGACTTTAATCTCTTATGGGTAGGATAGGCTCAGCCTGGTCATCTCCTTAAAGAAATATATCAAACCAATTATAAAAAGAAGCAACAGCAACTTTGTTAAAGACTGCTCCCACACATTTCAGATACCTAGTTGTGATAAGATACATATCTGCTATAATTCTATATGTTGATTAAAGAACAACACAGCCATTTAAAGCTAATTATTAGTATTAAACTAATCCACTTTTTGAATTTGCTATTTTATCAATAATTCAAAAAATTAAGTTTGGCAGAGGAAAATAAATGTCAGATTAGATACCAATTTTGCTAATGTCATCTATCCCTATTGCAACATAATCACTGGCCAGCAGATGGTGTGTTAGGCTAAATATTACTAAATTGTTGAAAGTACTTTAGCAATAAATGTACAGTAATGTAGAGAACCAAGTGATTAATCTTGATATGAGGTTTATCTCAGTTTACCAGCTGTACAAAGATACTAATATAGGGATGGCATGCCTTTCCTAAACTAAAATACATAAGAAAAAAATAAAAATAGCATGAAGGAATCCGTATGGAAGAAGTGTATGGTTTTTTAAATACCATTAAACATATACCTCCATAAACTCAGTATTTCACTTGACCCCATACTTGAGTAAGTCAGTTTAAGGAGATGAAAGAAAACAAGATTATTGCTTAAAATCTCTTGCTCCCCATGACCTACCTACCTACCTACCTACCTACCTACCTTTCTTTCTTTCTTTCTTTCTTTCTTTCTTTCTTTCTTTCTTTCTTCTTTCTTTCTTCTCCTTCCTTCCTTCCTACGTCTTAAATTTTTCTTCTAAAATGTTTTAGAACTACTTTGTTATAATTAGCCTTGGCTAGTATAATGTTGGATTTAAAAAAAAACACATCTTGATACATATGTGTCTTGCAATATTCTTACAGTAAATATTTTTTACTATGGACACCAGTGAGTCCAAAGATACCATCCTTGCTTCCCATTCAGCTCCCTGGGTCACAAGAACTAACTTCTAATATTTCCCTTCTAAAAATAAATGAATGAAATGGACTCATATTGGTCTAAATAAGTATTTTTTTTAAAGGTATATACCGTATTTGCCGGTGTATAAGACGACTGGGCGTATAAGACGACCCCCCAACATTTCCACTCAAAATATAGAGTTTGTTATATACTCGCCGTATAAGACTACCCCCTCTTCCACACACCTTCCACTTTTGCACTTTTTTTTTTTTGACGCACTTTTCTGCTTTGGACAATTTTGAAATGAGCTAATCCAATTTTGAACCAAGAATATGCAAATAGCTATGGAGTTTAGAAATGAGTTTTAAAAATATTTTTCATTGCTTACCATTAAGCGTAAAATATGTTGTAAATAAAATGAGAACACAGGAAACGTTCTCTTCTCAATACAGCTGATCTCTCTCTCTCTCTCTCTCTCT